CATAAAGGCTCGTAATGACTGCGGGGTGGGCCATGTTTGTCTCCGGCCTGAAAGTCACATTCCCAACATAAAAGAACAGCACCATCCCATTGGCCCTAAACGTGGACAGGAATTGCCAGAATAAAAAATGTCCATTATGGATCGTCATCGGTCTACCCTGGGAAAGAATAGCCAGAACGAGGTGCACGTCATTGGTCTAGATACGAGAGGATACAATAATATTGTAGATAAGATAGAAATCTTTACAAGACCACAACGTGCTGCTGCAATTACCAGTAGGAGCTGGGAGACTTTGAATAAACTAGATTTATGAAACATAAGAGAGGCTTGAGCCGTCCAAGTTGCCAGCAGTGCTAATTCCACAAAGCACACTGTTGTTAAATTGATGTCTTGGTGTGAATGACGGAGCAACAAGGGCCATCACAGTTTCTAAAGAATCAGTTCTCAGATCATATTTCCCACCAACAAAGCAACAGATTCAGTGATGTTTGTAAAGAATGTACATTTTGTTAGCAAGTTCAAAACACGCATATGATATTCTGATAAGTAACATGTGTTTGAGAAATGTATAGCAGTCTGTGTGAACAGATTAGGACCAAGGGATTTTGACTAGTATTAGCGAGCCAGCATTAGCAATTGCAAGATGAGGTGTGACTCCACCTGCTGGTTCAGTGATCCTCCTGTGACACTTCCAGTGGCGCCCAGTTGAAAATAAAAGTGCAGTGCTCTTCAAAAGCCTGGATATTTTGACTGCATGCTGCAACATCCAGGATCCAAGTCCCAATACGAGACTATGAATCCCTCCGATCACCAAGCCCGTCTACCCATACCCACCTAACGGAACATCAGGTGATTTGTTCAAGCTGGTGTTTGAGGAAGGTCCCCCGGCAGTCTCAGTCCCACCCCTCCTGACGTCTTACCCCCCTCCCTCTGGAGCCTGGACCCCGTAGTGAAGCCCTCTTGGCCGAATGGCCCATCAGTGACATTAATGGAAGCTTTCCTCTCATACATGTTGGCTCTCCTTAAGGTACCAGGATAGGTTCTGATTGCTAGGTCTATACCTACAGCTGTTCAGAGTCACCTAACAGCACTAACATGACCTTAATTGGTCACATACATAGATATCTCTGACCTGACCCACACAGCTGACTTTTAATAGTCAAACTCATTCTGTTATTCCTCCTCACACAGACGGCCGTGGGAACATCCAACATCTTCTATACTTCCGTGGTGCGTATGGGGCACGTATTGCAGCTTGCAGCGTCCTTGGGATTCTTATCCGGTTGCAGCATTGTCCTGCGGCCCTTTCAGGAACAGGCAGCCTGCTTCTCTCGGTATTGCTACTTAAAGTGTTGTCTCTGAATGTTGTTGTTTGGAGTGAGAAGCCGTTTTGGAGCACGCGGCTCACAGTGATGCTGCTTGCAGCATGGCCTTGGGGCGTTGCAGAGACATAGATTCTTGCTTTATGGTTTCATTTGCTGGTGTAAGGAATTCAAGTAGTTACGAATTAAAATATGTATGATCATGTCTAGTAGAATAATTCCTGTATTATCAATCAAACATTTTGTATATCTTGTAAGTCATTTAATACAGTACACATGGCATCATTAATGTAATGTTCAGCCTGGGAGAGGATTTCTGTCAATTCCTTCTCTAACGAATTTCATATTTTCATCCCCAAAGACGTTTCTTCAGTTTTTTGGGGGGAGCAAAGGATGGGGAGGTGTACAGATAGTACGGCCCTGTGTGGCAACCGTCAACCACTTTGGACTACAGAAAATGAATACAATATTATGTATGTTACGATCTAGTGACACACTGATTCCAGGTCCAGTCACCAGATGGCGCCAGAGAGGAAGGTGATGAAATGCCTGGGCGTAGATGAACGGCCGCGCCCACCAGCCTGTGTGCAGCCAACAATCCAACCTGCACAACGTGTCTTTTCTGTCCTAATCAGCATCTGAATGAGGAATATTCAATGAGCTGCCACTCATGTGTATCACTCATGTTAGGACAACGGAGCTTCCCTGTTGAAAACACTTGAAAACATTCAATTACAAACTAGGGCTGTCGCAATATGCGATAAAACGATATATCGCACACTCTCTGAAATCGCGTGCAATCATTTTTGTTGCTGCGATATTTATTTTACATATAAATGAACGTCACCAACATGTAAGTTGATGTCCCTTTTCCTTGTGGACAGGGGGGCGGGGCTTATGCACACAGACACAGAGCGACACCGACAGGTGAAGAGAAGCAGTGAACACAGCTAAGCTAACTAAGACTGCTCCTTCGCCTCTTTGGGCGGGAGGACCGCCGTCCTGCGTTCCTCCCGGTCCGGCCGATTGGCATTAAGCGGCTCCGTCTCTCCCTGCAAATGGTGTGAAAATAACATCTCACATCGCAATTAATGTTGGTGCAATAATCGCACAAAAAATGTGATATTGTGACAGCCCTATTACAAACATTGTGAATATGTCCTTTCTACACAACTTGATTGGTTGATGCCTTTATTGGCAAGAACATTGTTATTTTATTACACACTGTAACGTTTTATTTGACCCTCCGAAACTCGAAACCTGTCGGCAGGATGGAAAAGCCTACATCGTGTGTCCTACTGGACAACGGGAGCAAATGGAATGTTTTCTCTAACCAGATCAAATTGGTTTAATGTCCATTCCTTGTGTTTCTTGGCCCAACAAGTCTCTCCTTGCTTCTGGTCCTCAGTAGTGGCCTGATTCAGGCAGGTGACGCTGAGATGTGCGTGCTACTTGAATGTTTACGTGGGCGCTAATCTGAGGCTGGTAGCTCTAATGAACTTATCCCCGGTAATGTTGGACTGACGTTTCTCTTTACTTAGATGAGGTTCTTGCCATAATCTGGATTAGGACTGTAGTGGAATAGGCCCTTTCACTGTATGGAACTGTGCACTAACCAAGAATCTAAAATATACAACATAATTCCATATTTGTTCCTTCATAGTTTTGATGTCTTCAATATTAATTTACGAAAAATAAAATAAGAACCATTGAATGAGCAGGTGTGACTGGTACTGTGTATGACATCATTTAGAGGCTCCAAGGCAACAAATCAAATCAACAAATCAGTTATGCAAAACTCGCCAACATTGTTTTTAAGCAAAAGCCACATTTCATGTTTTATTCTTTGTTGTGTCACATTTGATTGTATGTCGTGTCTGTTCAGCTGTTCCATCCATCCATTGTCAAACCGCTTATCCTGCACACAGGGTCGTGGGGGGGCTGGAGTCCATCCCAGCCAACTTCGGGCAATAGACAGGGTACATCCTGGATTGGTCGCCAGCCAATCGCAGGGCTACACAGAGACACACAACCATTCACACTCACATTCACACATCTACGGGCAATTTAGAGTCACCAATCAACCTGATCCCCAGAGCATGTCTTTGGACTGTGGGAGGAAGCCGGAGAACCCGGAGAGAACCCACGCAGACACAGGGAGAACATGCAGACTCCACACAGAAAGGCCACTGTGTGGAATCAAACCCAGGACCTTCTTGCTGTGAGGCAACAGTGCTAACCACCACGCCACCGTGCCGCCATGTTCAGCTGTTGCAGATATTAATTAGCATGTTCTCTGGTTGATATTCCCCTTCCCCCAGGAAGGAAGCACAATGCAGAGACCTCCACAAAGGGTGAGGAGGACATGTTAACACTGTCCGATTTACTCCAAAGAAACACAAAATAGAAGCCTCTAACGCTTGGTCCATACCCATCTACCCAACATGCCCTGGACCCCATCAGTGTGAATAGCAACACCCCCTTAATCACATCAAAAAGTTGTACCCAGTAAATGCAAAGAGAAACTTCCAGCAGAGGAGATAGAAGCAAATCTAAATCTGTTTAAATAGAATATTGCATGCGTGGAGCGTGCAGTGTTGCAGGGATGTCAGCTGTGTGTGTGTGTGTGTGTGTGTGGACGAGCAGGCAGGCGAGCAGCTGAAACAGACACAGAGGTGGAGAGACAGCCCGTCACGCTGCGCGTGGAAGCTCAGCTTGCTGACTTCAGACCAGCAGCCGCACAAGGAATCCCATTCAAGGTGTGCAGGACGCGCGTGGTCCACTCAGTCAGCCTCATTCACGGGGCGCGGAGGTGAAGAGGGCTCTGCGGCCCCTGCTGAATCTGAGCTTTTATTTTGTGATCAGAATGCAAAGCAAATGTCAGGGTATAAATACCAGAATCAGCTCAGGGAGTACAGGAAGCACGTGATGTGGGACAGGTTAAATACATCATATCAGTGCACACGTACACAAGTGGCTTTCACACTGTCACTGATATGCTAAAATCTTCTCTGATCATTGCAAAATGACAATGAGGAGGAGAGAGGAAGGGGCTGGTGGGGAGGGAGACAAACATTCAGACCCAGAAGCCACTGATGATGAAAGTGAGAGAAGTGAGAGAGTCGGTGCCGCTGACTAACACGGCGCTGTAATGTGGTTGCAGACCTGATAATCAGGCTAGAAGCCAAAGAAATCCACCAATGCAGCGTGAAGGAAACTACCACCAAGGCAGGAATCCCTCAGGACTCTCGGTCCTACGCAGACAGCTACAGGTAGGTCTCCTCTACTGATCAGCGGCCTCTCGGACACTGAACCGAAACCGCCACAGACGCACAGCAGCTGGCACGGATCTATTGAAAGGCGTCCTTTGCTTGGAGTTTGAAATCCGTGACAGTAGCAGCGCACTGAGGAGCAGGTCAGCAGTGATCTACATGGGGGCGTCGCCCCCGAGGAACAACACGGGTTTGGGGCTTGACTTGTCCGTCTTACTATCTGCCGTATTAATGACATTTAGATCACATCTACTGACACGTCACTGTGAAAACGTGTCATCACAAGAGCCTGGACGCTCAAACAGAGAACGCTTCAAGCACACGATGTCACGGCCACGTGGAATCAATCACTGTTGCGAACTGCTTCTCACACACCGATCGGCGCGTCTGATGGGAGGTCACTCACCAGCAGCGTGGGCAGCCCGGCCACCAGGGCGTACAGCAGCACGGGCGGGACGGCGCTGCTCTCCTCCGGCCCCAGGTAGGGCTTGGTGTACGCCGTGTCGTAGCAGAAGAAGCCCTGCACGTGGACGCTGAAGGTGTCGGTGTACTCGAAGTAGTAGGCCAGCATGACGGTCCCGGCCATGATCACCAGCTGGAAGTACAGCATGATGCAGACAAAGAGCGGGAGACATTTAATTAAAGCCTATCCCTCTCTCTCGCTCCCACCCAGCCTCCTCCCCCCAGTGACCGGCTCATGGCGCGCTCTGTGGCGTGGTGGTGGAGGCTGCTCTGATCACCGCTGCTGCGACCGTGTGTGTGTGCGAGAGGGAGAGAAGGAGAGGCAGGGGGGAGGGAGAGGGAGAGAGAGAGCGAGGGGGCGGGGGGAGGTTGAGCCAGCGGGTGTGTGAGGGTGTGCGAGCATGAAAGAAATGAAGTCCTCCCCTACGTCTGTTTTGTGTGCGCGAGAGAGACGCGTTGCGGCTTCCTCCATTTTAGTGTGCAAACTCCTCACAGAACGCATTGCCATGTTCAGAGGGGGAGGCGGGAGGGTGGTGGGGGGGGGGTAAAGGGAGGGAGCTGCACGCGTCACGCAGTCTCCGACATGGCAGAGGCCGACGTGTGAGTCCATACGTAAACGTGAATGGGCACGTGCTGCATGACGTCATGCATGGGTTGGGATGTGCAATGAGTAGCAGCGCTTGTAGGTCCGAGGGGCTCAGATACCTTTCAGGGGTCCAAGAGGCTTCACATCAAACAGGAAGCTCAACATGCACAATGCAGGGTCACACCGATGAGCCCCTCGGCTTCCACTTCCTCCCACGTGGATGCATCAGCCATGGACCCATCGGCGTGGTCCGGTTCATGCCCCCATGAGGGTTATTGGATGTTATTTTGAGTAGCAGCTCTTGACTACGAACTCTTAGCCCATATTCTTATTTTGTCTCCCAGAAATCTTCCTGGCAGGGTGCGATTCTGTGAACCACGAAACACGTTGATCATCAACGCTTATGAACCAAACGCGTTTGATAAGCATGTTTCACATCAGTTGCGCCTGCAGAATTGCATATTGGCACATGGTTAACATGGCAGGTTGAGGTTAAATAGAAGTATTTGTCTTTATCACTCAAACAAACCAAAACATGTTTTCTTGCACTACAATCAAAAATCTAGTTTGTTAGTAAAAACTAGATCAACTGAGAATAAATGATTTGTTAGTTTTGCTAATAGAATTCTAGAAATAAAGAAAACAAGGTTGTCAGTGTGTAACTGCCGTGTGTGAAAAATAACAATAAAAAAAGGCATTAAAATAATTTATTTGTACAAACAGAACTCCCTGCTATGTCATACATGTCCCTCGTTAGTTAGTCTGCAAAGAACCAAGTAGAATCCACCAATAGAAAGCCCCGGCTGATTCGGCCCCGCCCACTTCATCCAAACTCAACTTGTAGGTTTTCGTTTTCAAACCAAAGGTTTTAGTTTTGCATTCAAAAATTCCAGTTTTGCATAATAAATGAATAAATATAATACCAGCTGGAGGTTCTACAGTATTCTACTTTCATATCTGTAGCTGTCCCCATGTCCCTGCATGGATCACGGAAGCCCAACAGGAGAGGCATCTAAGCCGAAACCCATAAGAGGACGGCTGCGGGACACGGGAGTCGGGTGGAGCTGGGTGAATGGAGTCGGGTGGGGACAGCTCTGAGTAATGGCTGCCGTTGAGGTCAAATCTATACGCTGCTGGCTGCAGAGAGGCGTCCAATGATGCATCTGCAACATGAAATATCATTAATCATTGGTGTTCATGATGAAGTCATATTCTCTTATGATACCTTGCGAGGACAAATTCCCACTATGCATTTTAGATATTGAATATATGCAATAAGTATTAGCCAGTGTGAAACAATGTTTTTTTAACTTGTGAAATAACATTTAACCTTTGTTATAAATAATAAATATATTTATTTGGGTGTCCTGTATATGTATTTGTCATCAAATGGAATAAAACTTTTAGTCAGTAGTTTACAGATTCAAAGTGTTTCTTTTTTACCCAAAATAAACAGAAAACATAAATCTGTCTGATTTATGTTTTCTGTCCACGTTCTGTCCAAATTAGCCAGTTAGCGTGTGTTAAATAGCTAATCGGAGCTAGCTAATGTTAGCTAATGATTTAATACTTGCGATGGTGTGTTGCTCGGCCGCCTGGTAACTAAGGGACACGTATTCTTTACGTTTTCGCTCCCCGTGATGACGTCAGCAGAAGAATTCACGGTGCTGGTGGACGACGTTGGCGGTTCGTTGTCGAAAAGTTCAAGTTCCGCGAGAGCTTTGGATTCTTCCCGCACACGCAACATCAGTTGGCGAGAGTCAAAACTGGACCGGGTCATAAAGGCTACGATGTTTTTCACACGTTAACTAAATTGTAATTACTGTTGGAGGAACTTATGGGGCGTTTTTTGCCTCATATGTTTTTGCGTTTTTTTGGCGTTTTTTTACCTCTCTCTCTCTCTGTTGTTCAAACTAAGTGCTAACTAAAACATGCTAAAATGCTCATAACTGCAAGGTCTTCATTCAAACATTTACACAGAGAATTGCCAAATGACAACGTTAATAGTTAACAGACAATAGACGTCTCCAATGGCGCTATGCCAACACTGGAAGCTGACATTAGTGCTGCAGGAAAATCCCACGTTGACCAAAGTTAGAACAATCCAATCGAAGGGAAACAAATACCAGAATTATATTTCAAAGCAAACATCCAATTCAGGATGAAACGTTTTATCAAGCAATGTTTTTATCGTAACACTTCAAATGGTAGAAGGGTAGAAACTGCAGGTTGTAAATACAACTCCATGGTAAAATACATTGCTAGTGCAAAGAAGGGCAGTAACGTTAGCTTGTGCTGAGGAGGATTTAAAAGTCACCTGCAGGAGTTCATGGAGGCGTTTAGTCCGTCACATGGGGCTCTGATGCAAAGCAGCCTCTTGTGGTCAAAGTGAGTATTACAGGAGGTTCAATTTCATAAAAAGTAACTTTTCGTCTCTTTTACAGTTCACACCAAAATGATGAAACTTGTAAACATGATCCTGGCAAAACATTTGTGTCATAAACCCAAGAGAGGAAACACTTTGATCACAAGAATATTTTATCTTATGTGCCCTCTGTTTTACGTACAATTGGCTGGACTTTAGCTGGACTTGTAGAACCACTAATTCATTCATAAGCGCATGTTGCATCTACTTTGTCTCCACCAGTCATGTTATATTGTAAAAGAAACCTGTCAATTCATTCACTTTGTTGAAAGAGTGCAACTGAAGAAGATAATTATTGCTATAAATAACCATGTGCACGTCTGAATAATTGTAATCGACCCACTAAAAGTGGATGTGAATAGCAGCAAGCCCACAGCATCGTTACACACACACGGGACCAATCATGCATAGAAAAGGCTTCACAGCGGCCAATCAGAGGCCGGCTCATGTGTGTGAGCACAGCTTGTATCGTCTGTAGACCAATGGTCCATCTGGCACTTTACTGCCGCCTATGAGAGCAGCCTGCTGAGGCCACGATGAGGGCACACGCACACGCACACACGCACACACACAGAAATATTATCACTTGCGCCTGAGTTCTTCCCACATTGAGTGAATTTATTTATGTTATTATTCATGATTGACAAGCAAGGAGAGAATAATATTATTATTTTGTACTTGGATGAAAACAGAGCAGGATCCTTTGTGCAGCCAGACGGTTTGATGCGTCCTGCTGGCCGTTGGCCAATCACAGCGCACTGACCAGCGCCCTCAGGCTATTACCATCTGACCAGCTCTCCTCCCACGCGGGTAAGACCACGTGTTCCGTGACTATGAATTTATGTTTCTCTGACCTAAAATGGGCACCAAGGCTTTTATTCACTACTGTTCTTTAAATAGTGTCAGCCATTTCTTACATACATCATTGTATTTTTATTCAAATTCTTGTCTGAATGGAAAAATAATCAGTAGATTAACAATGTATTCTAAGCTGCTTCCGTTCTAAGCTTAGCTGCTTCATTTTACTATCACAACAAACGCAAAGCGGATTTTTGTGGGAGCTTTTATTTATTCACGCCATTTGCGCCAATCGTGGCATTTCTCAACTTAAGTATTTATTACCGCCACCAACCATAGAAGAAATAACCGCTATAGATGCTCTGTTCACGTTGTGTATGGTCCAGATATTCCAGTAAACTAAACGCCGTCCGGTCTGTGTTCATTCCATCATCTGAAGGCAGGACGTGTTTCCCTGCAATAAACAGATCAAAGGTTGCCAAAATAACTGCATGATGATGCCAACTTGTAAGAAGTCTAAATACATGTTGTTTTGTGCGTTCTCTCTGCTTGCTTTCTCTAGCTAGCTCAGTTCGATCGGTGCTATGCTATGCTAACATTGTTAGTGCTCCATCAGCAATCAATATAACATGATAATGGTATGGAAATGGCAGCATTACTACTGCTAGTTCACTATGGTTTATACAGTCATGTATTCAGTTTCATCCGGTCTGACTGCACAGCAGGATGATAGAAGACAAATAGCATCACTAAATGAGCACATTTCATTATTTGGTGCAGCAGTAAGCGGGGAGAGATATTCACACAAACAAATCAAACCCAGAAGCACCTGGAGATGATAGGAACATGCTATGGAGTCCCCCATAGACACACAGTAAGACTATGTGAGAGGATGCAAAAGCCTGCTGCAGCAAAGGAGACATCACAGCCACGTGTGTCGGGCCTTTCTCTTTGCTCCCCTTGAGGAGTCACTAATGAGCTTTGGTGTCTTGGGAATACAGGTGTCGCACTGCACAGCAGCAGCATTAGAGCATGAAAGGACTCTGACACACACACACACACACACACACACACACACACACTTGTTGAGAACATTAAAGAACAGTCAAACCTTTTTAAACTGTCACTAGATGAAGCCAGACCAAAAGCCACATCTGTGCTTTACACAACAAAGGGACATTTGCATACTGCAGAATCACATCAGAGATCGGAAACATTAAACAAAGTGACTTTGTAAACTTTTAGTTTTACAGCGATTTAGAGCTCAGGTCGTAATTATGCTTCAACTTCTAACTTCCCTTTCTTCAACAGGTTGGACTAATCCAACATGTGTTTACCAGCGGGATCGTCTGACAGTTCATTATTGCATCAGAGATGGGCCTTTAAATAAAGCTTATGTGCATCGCTCGGAATGGATGGATGGATGGATGGATGGGTTAATGTTTGGTGGAATGGATGGTTTGATGCATGGATGGATTAATGTTTGGTTGAATAGATGGTTGGCTGGATGGATGGGTTAATGTTTGGTTGAATAGATGGTTTGATTTCATTTTATTTTGTATAGCCCATAATCGCAAATTACAAATTTGCCTCAGAGGGCTTCACAGTCTGTACACATACAACATCCTCTGTCCCGAAACCCACCATCGGCACAGGAAAAACTCCCCCCAAAAAATGGATGGTTGGTTGGATGGATGGGTTAATGTTTGGTTGAATAGATGGTTGGTTGGATGGATGGGTTAACGCTCCGTCGAATGGATGGTTCGTTGGATGGATGGGTTAACGTTCGGTTGCATAGATGGTTGGTTGGATGGATGGGTTCATGGTTGGTTGAATGGATGGTTGGTTGGATGGATGGGTTAATGGTTGGTTGAATGGATGGGTTAATGTTTGGTTGGGTTTTTCTTGCTTGCATGGATGGTTATATGCTGGCAGAATTAAATGCTTGGTCCAATGGATGGTTTATTGTCTGGTTGAATGCATGGAAGGGTTTTTATTTGTTGTTGTGGGTTTGGGGACTTTTGATGTTGCATGTATACAGACAGTAAAGCCCTCTGAGGCAAAATTGTCATTTGTGATTTTGGCCTCTACAAAATAAAATGAACAGGATGGATGTTTGATGGAAGGTTTACGGAGCATGGACTCCAACCAGACCTCAAAAACTGCTTCTGCTGAAACATGCTTAATTTAGTCTCTTTCCTCACCAAACACAAACTTTGCTTATTTACACTCATGCATCAGTATGTGATCGGTATTTCATACGCTCTGTTATGAAGAGACATGAAGTGGAATCTACCTTCAATCACTCAGTTTCCCTGTGTCACACATTCAGGAAACCACTCAAAATGAATAACTATGCTGCCAAGACGACATCACCCCGACTGAGTGAGAATCTATTAATAGACTTGTTGTGGCTGAGATATGAGAAAAGCTTACATTGTGTCTTATTATACCACTATGCCAAAGGCAGCAGAGCGACCCAGATACACAACGACAAATGCAATCAATCTCTCAGTCCGTCCGTCCGCACAACTTAAGACGGACTGATTTGTTACACAACCAAGCAGCAGCTACACAAGGAACACCACATGAAATAAACGGCTGATTTTCACGGATTTGGGCCCAAACGTAAGCCTGTCTGATTTCTGCATGAGAACCAAAAGGAGCACATTTGATTTCATTGAGTGTGAATAAACAGCTCTTAATAAAAAGGGAAAGAGGCAGTGGAGGAAACTTCAAAGTAGCATGCTCCAAGCAGCCAGGGCTTATCTGGCATGTCACACTTCAGAAGATATTCATGCAGTGTCTTTGGTGCGACCCAGTAAAGGCGGATCCTGCAGGACCGTGTTCTTGAAGGAAGATAAATGTGGCAGGCATGGAGGAAGTGGGGATGGGGGGGTGGGGCCGCTCCTCAGAAGAGAGGCAGCCAGTCCAGCCCTGTGGTCTCCTTAACTATAGTTTGGCATCAATCTTTGTGGAGCGAAGTCTTCGTCCGTCTTCGGAACATTCCAGTCTCTCTAAAACCTCAAACCATCCAAGTTCTTTATCTGTAGTGGTGGACAAAACAACTTGAGTTAATGGGTACAAATACAGTGGTTAGTTTGTCCCGCCACAGCGTCATAATGATATGTCCACTCCATGGCTGGCCCTCTCAGGGTGCATTTACTCTGGCTGGTTTGAGGTTGCGTCTCGAGGGCGATGCTTTCATCACTTTACTTCAAAATGACAAGGCGAGAAAAATGCAAACATCAAAAAGAGCTGTAGAAGCTGAACTCAGATGGAGTCCAGGGAAGTATGTGCTCGAATTGTTAAAGAAGAAGGTTTGCACACGCCGACATGGAGAACACGCCAAATATTCCTCTATTCCATTACTATTCTAACTGGTCATGTCAGCCTGCTCAGTGGAGGTGTAAGTGTTGCTCTAGAATCTGATGAAAGCATCCCGGAAAAAAAGAGGGAACAACATCTCCTCTCTGTTACGTTCTACTTTTAAATACAGCGTATTAAAAATGCACAGTGCCCAAGATATGAACTGCTCAGGCTTTAGACAACAAAGAAAGTCCCAGCCGGGTACATCCAGGGAGACAGATGGCATCCAACGAGGAGCCTCCAACCAACGAGCCGAGGAAGTGATGGTAGAGCAGCAAAGGGAAAAGGAGAAGCTGTGGCAGCTCAGTGGAACTGAAGACATGAGAAAGATGCTCCTAAAGTGTATTTGGTGTGTATGTGGGTTGGAATGGTAAGACGTGGTGATCAGCAGGTGGCCCCATGTCATCAGTGTGTGAACGGGTGAATTATGTGGTAATCAGAGATGTGCGATTCCCTTTTCTCTCCACCAGGTGGTGACAGAACACTACTTGTTTACGGCACCTGGTTGTCAGCTGAGTGCTCAGGGATCCCAGACTCAGACGACTCGTATTTCACAGGCATCGGGGTCCCTGGAGATCCACAGACTTATTACACGGGTTTGTGAGGACATTTGCGATTTTGAAACAGACTCTATGAGCAGGTGGAGCTCTCCCAGTTGGTTTTAATTTGCATTATGGTGCATCATGGGGGGTGTGAGAGTTCTAAAAATGGTGGGAAGACACTTCCCTTAGTTGGATCTGGTAAAACCCTGGTAATCTTTTCTGAGCAGCATGTTAAGGGTCTGGATACACAATGAGGGCGTCCATCTTTTTATCTCTTTGTGAATCATATCTTACCTCGCCCGCCAGGGTGGTGTACAATTCCCTGCGCTCCCTCCTGCTGAGTGGTTTCGGAGGCATGTTGACTTCCTCTTTCCATCAGGATAAACTGCAGAAGAAAGAAATAGACGGCTTGGAATAGACGGAGCGTATGACATCATTAGGACGGGAGAGAAACAATGAACACATGGAAGAGTCAGGTGAGCTCACTGGCGTTGAGCTATGGACGCAACCTGGAATCCTCCCATCAAGGGATGAGAGCCGTATCCACACACGCCAACAGCTACGTTTGAAAAGCAGATCCCTCTCTGCTCGTGCACAGGCCCTCAGCTTTTACAGACCGGCGCCGCGCGGACAGCCAGCTTCAGCCGTGGTGAAGCCTGCCGGCCTTTCGTCCACACAGCAGATCACCGAGAGCAGCGGGAACTCTGTGGATCCCCGTTTACAGCGTGAGTCAGAGGCCTTTTCAGACAAATACAGCAGGACGGGTGGCTTGGGGAGGCCGTCTGTCAGGGGGAATCTGCAGCATTCAACAGCTGACGCGTCACATGACAACGTTCGCAAGTTGCTGGGACGGGCAATTCAACGAACACATCACTCAGGGATGGAGAGTAGTAACGTTGTAGTACGTGGGAGAGGTTTTTAATTCACAAATGCTAAAGATATGGGAAACCTAGGAAACAGAAGAGGTTAGCACAAGCTCCACCACCAGTGTCCCAACCGGACCAGAGCCGTCGCTGAAATCAACACTTCCTCCCCGATGAGCCTATTTAACAATGTTGCAGATGCGCGAACGACTTCAATCAAAGTGTGTCGGTTCCCCCTTTGAACAAAGACCTGGAGGCTCGAGGAGGGAGGCAGGAGGAGGGAGGCAGGGGGAGGGAGGCAGGAGGGAGGAGGAGAGGAGCCATGCACAAAGAGAATAAAACTCACGCACTTTGTTACAAGCATCTTCTGTTGCAGCATCGCTACCAGAGAACTGTAGAGCATCTGCAGAGGGATGTGAGACACAAAACAAAGAGCAGAGCCAGCACAGCTTGTTCTGGAATAACTCAGTCAACCCCAGAGGAGGAGAACAGGCTCCCCAGCACAATGCATGCTGGGAAGGCGGCCAATCAGCCAATCAGGAGAAGGTACAACAGGCAAGAAGTCCAGGGAACTCTGATCACAACCTCAGTGGTTGGTTTTTAGATCCCAAAGCGGAATCGCAAAGAGAAATTACTTTTGGAGACCGCAAAATATCATTATGAATTTATGACTGAGTTTTCACGAGGATTTTAAACCTTGCCGTAATTATGTGGATTTTGTATCAATGCACGTTTGAATTCACAAACACTTGAGATCCACTGATTCCTCAGTCACAGACACATTAATTTGTTTTAGAGAGATTGTATATTGTTGTAAGTAACTCTCGCCCTTATGAGTAAATAACAGTTTACAGTGATCACATATGTAACACGGAGATGAATACAGAGCTGCCAACTTTTCAAAAAACCTTGGAGTGAGATTTTGTCGGGGGTGACCAAAATTTTGCCGCGCACGCAGCCACACACGTTGGTGGCTCAAATATCAGGAAATTGGAATTCATTTGGCGTAGTACCCATGTTGTACCCTGCATTCTGGTGGTTTGTGGGGCCCAAAGTCGTTGATAGGGGCGGCCTACTGGAGATGGACAACATTGGTTACATTCTGTGAAGCAAAGACATAGCTGATGGTCCACCCCCAGGACATTTTGGTTTAAGTAGATGTTATTTCATGCATTCTCGTGGATTTTTGGGTGGTATGCCTGAACTTATTCTGATTTATGTTCATCTGCTCATGACTTGTTGGGCCTTCTAGACTTGAGCTGGACATTCAACCAGAAAACTATTGCTGTGCCTCAATGACTGTCTATGTACCACAATATAGTCTAATTAATAGACCTGTGTTTAAGATTAGATTAGCAGCAGTGCTGCTTGTTATGACAGCTGAGTTTACATTCACCACTCAAAATCACACGCACAAACACAACAAATAATTTCTTTCAAGATTTAAAGTTTAAGAGAGTGAGTACTTAATTGAACCACATGTCATTAACATACCTTAGTCTTTGCTCCTCCTGAGTTTCTCCCGCGGTTGTGTCTGTTTGAAAATCTTCTTCTGTTGCTAACTTCGGGACTCTTTGGGGTAAACAGGATGTCTATGCAGCGAATGGGTTTACAGATGCGCTCCTTAGCGCCATCTATTGTCGGGGAGTTTGAAAAGGAACGAACTCGCTTCGCCCAAAATCAGATTTTTTTTTTTGCCGTGAGAAATTGGTTGTGTGGCGTGAGTGCGTGTGAAAACATGCAAAAGCGTGTGTCACACGGCGAAACCGTGAGAGTTGGTAGGCCTGTGAATAATAAGTAACACGGGGGACACAGAAACACTGGTCCTCATGTGACACAGCATCCCGTGTCAAAGTTAACGCACCGACCACGAGGCTAGTCAACTTCCGGGAAGAGCTCGGTCGGATCCTGTTACCGGGTAACGTGTGACGTCACTTGACTGATAAAGTGAGTTCATTACGCTGGTATCAATCAGCAGCATCGATAATCACGTGTGTGGTTGTGACCCGTCACCGTGACGGCTCCCACCCACCTGGCGCAGACAGCGTCACTGGAGACGCACGAGCTCAGTGTGCGGGGACAGACAGCTGGGGGACAGTGTCCTACCTCGGACAGCTCCCGGAGTCACAGCCGGGGAACCGCACCGACCCGCCGGCGGAGCAGCAGCAGCGGCGCGGGAACTTCCGGCTGGTCTCCTCACACTTTTTCCCGCATCTTCGCTGCTTCAACTACCGGATCCCTGTTGGGGCGCGTGCACGGGGCTTCCCCGCGGCGTTGCGCATGCGCAGCGCGAGTCCGACGTGAACGATGCCTCCAAGTAATGAAGAAAATAGATGATACCCAGAATAAAACTAAACAATTGAAATGAATGTTTTCTTCATAATTACATACTTTGATATTTAGATGACTTAGAAAAACGTTTGACTGAGTTTTTAGATTTCCCAGCTCAGAGTTTAGCATGAAGGCAGCATTGCCCCTGTCTGTGTTCCAGCAGCAGTAACAAGAGTCGTATTCACACACTGACTGACGTGGTGTCCATTTACCATGACAGCAGTCGTGGAGCAGTGGGAAGAAACCTTGGCAAGCAGCTAGTGTGTGAAAGCTGAGATGTTAAACCTCACGTTTTACCACAGACTGTGATGACAGCTTGTCTCATCACAGAAACACACACACACACTAGGTTGGACTGTGCGTTCTCTAGTTTCATATTGACATGGCATGTTATGTGTGTGGGATTAGTTCAGCATTAGAATGAATTCATTCTAAGGTCCTAGATGCCCTCTGATCAGTCCATTGTATCCATCCTGTCCATCGTTGTTATTAGGAAGAGTGTTGCTGTACATGGATGTGTGTGAATGTGTCAATCTATACGTTATTAAACGATCTTCACTGCATGGCCCAAGTTACTATGTCACTATTTGTAGATCCTAACTCAGTATTTCAACATTCTTACTCATTGTTGAGGGATACAAATATATCGTTTTGAAGCACTGTTTTGATCATGATTTTGAGGTAATTAGTTTTTTGGGGGGGGGCTTTTTATATATCAAGTTATTGTTTTGAGATGCTTCTTTCAGTTCACATTAGCAGAGAGGAAAGTCTCCTGAACCCAGCTGTGTGTCAATCATCTGATTGACTTCAAAGATGGAAGTCGTACTTATGACAGAGTCAGTCCTTAAACAGATGAAGAACATGATCATTGATTGTATTCTAACATTAAGTAAATAGGGATTGGTCATGTCAGTGAGGGATTTCAGACTCAGCCATCAGATGAAGCCATGGGGAGAGAGCCATAAATTCCTTAGAGCCCAACAACTCTGTGAAAAGGTCCAAAGTCTAGTTTCAGAAGATCTAAGGAGACTTCCAGAGGTCCGAGGACAGAATAAAGAGGTTTGGAGTAGTTTCATTAGAATTAATATTTTGGATGCAAAAGTGTGGAGACGTTGTTTTTCTGACCTACAGTAAGAAGTAAAAACAGATGAAACTGATGACTAACTGTCACTCAACTAATAAACTGTCCATCGACAGTCTTCAGCATCTGGTTTTCATGATGATCAATGACAGAAGCTGGAGGATTTACAGTTTGTGTTCTACATTCAGTCACATCTTACTGTATGCAAGCAGGCTGCTTTACTGGCTGTTCTTACCCACAATCCTTTGCACAGCAGATATATGAGCCAGAGGGTTCAAGGTGCCATGTGATTCTGCATAAACACTGTTAAAAAAAGCAACTAGCAATTGTTGATCTCATAAATGTTTTCAAATTAATCTGACGAAGCTTTGTCATGAACAACTAACAAAAACGTGTCAGGCTGTCATGTACGTCATTTCTGGGTCTGGTGTCGGCTCGCTCTGAAGGCATATTCAACTTGGGGAGATTCTCCAACTATTTAGAACCAAGTTTACCCTAACCAGGTAAGTGTTTGACAACCAGTGCTCAGTACGTCTATGGACTTATTTCAACCGAGAGAGGAATTAAATTCAACAAAGGGTTAGCTAACTAGCTACCAATGCTAGTGCACTTTATGCTTAATATTTAACTTTTTTAATATTTTAAATTTTTAACTCTAACTTTATTCTCTTGTTTTATACTAACCCATAGCCTTATTCTACTAACCCATTGCATTAGCATTTCATTTTACTTTATTTTATTACTTGTGCACTGCTGTCTTGTTGTCGATTGTTACACTGTCTACTGTCACGCACCAAGCAGGAAGACAAATTCAAGACAAGGGGCGGGAGGGAGGGAGCCAAGAGATGAGGACCGGTCCACCCGGGGAACTCAGGCGGGCGGTCAGTTGGGTGGGGAACCTCTGGGGGTCGGCCCGGAGGTTCCCCACCTGCGATTCAGCAGGGTCGGGATGTCGCTGCGGTCCAGCGCTGAAGGTTGTGCGCTGCGGCCCAGCGCGGAGAGTGTGGGTGGCCTGGAGTTGGACCGCAAGGTCCATCACCTGCTCCAAGTGCGATCCGCCGCCTGGCGACCACGAGAAGGCCTCCAGGAGAGCAGACTGAGTAGGCCAGGAATCCAGCTGGGAATCTGGGGAGGGCATTTTCCCCATAATGGGCAGCCAGCTGGATGCTGCGTGGCCCACCCAGAGCCAGACGGGCTCCCCGGAACTGGTCCCGGGGAAAAGACTCCGCTGAGTCCTTATGTGGTCGTGTCGTTCTGTCAGGAAGGCAGGGAGGGGATAGAAGAAAGGACTCAAACGCAGTGTTTTTTTTCCACTAATACAAAAAGGCTTTAAAAGTTCCAACCACACTCGTTGTGTGTTTACCAAGTGCCAAGGAACGCCGGTGTTGTCGTGTCGTCGGCGTACGGGTGTCCTTGGATGTCCGATTCTCACCGCTCGCTCTGCCAAAAGTAGCTGCAGAGGTCCTCGGTGGCATTCAGATGGAACTAGTTTAGAGACAGAACCATCGCTCTCTGTTTACAACTAACCTGTCAGGGTTGGTTGGGTAGGAAGGCAGGACTCAAACGCACGTCTTTTTTCACCGAAAAAGACTTTAATAGTCAAAAAACTCCCCAAAGTAAAAGGCCAACGGGCACGCACAAAAAGGCAGGCAGTAATGAGGAACATCCAGACGGTAGACAGGGGCATCCGTGACAAAAGACAATTACGCAACCAGTGACAAACAACACACACTGCTTAAATACACAAGGGAGGTGCAGGTGATTGGACACAGGTGGAAACAATCAGACAATCACAGGGGATGACAGGACCAGGCAGGAAGTGAAGTTACCCGGGTACACGAGTGGCAGAAAACTACAAAATAAAACAGGAAGTGCACCACACCGTGACAGTACCCAGAGTTTGTACTTGTACCACCGCATGTATTTATTGTACACTAGTACTACAAGTGTGGATTCTTCCTGTAAGTACTGTGAAATGTGGACATCATATAGATCTAATGTAGGTCTCATTATTCTAATGTGACATATGTTGAATATACCTGTAACAACATTTTGTACATACAACATTTGTGAATCAATGCAGTGTCCTGTCCTTTGTCCCTCCACTGAGAATTATGGACAGTACTTTGCCAAGACATGTCTGTCTGATCAGTGTGTTTTTAATGAACAGAACAGACGTCAGACCAGCGCCCATCTGTAGACTTCACTGCACAGAGAATAAAACACCCATAAGACATTTTAAACTGCTTCAAAATGGTGCTTTAGTGTTACTGAAAATATTGGACCACCGCTGGTTAAAAAGATGATGAAGATAAAGAAGAACACAAGAGTGAAGATAAAGATGAAGGAACTGACAACGTAATTGTAAAGTTGTTTATCAAATGCTTTTTAGAGATGTGAAGCACTCTTGTGCTTCTAGAGAGACATCACGCTGTTTTATCAAACTGAAGCTCTTCTCCATTGTTTTGGTTATTTTTCACACTTCCATCCTCAATTGAACAGTTAGGTCCAAGAGGTCAAAGGGATCAGATGATTAAAAATAATGTTGGGCAAATACTGTGGTATAAGGAAAAGGACTTCTCTGGCATTCAGACATTTTGACTCGATATTTTACATTTTTTCTCACAATCAAACAAGAACACAATCAGGCTTTTTTTTTTCAAAATAGTAAACAAATCTGACAGCAATAAAACTGAAGTCATTTTCTTTGGAACACAGACCAACATTAGATCTTCTCATCATCGGACCTCTTCAGTTTAACCACCACATTCAGGATTAAAGTGTGACAAATAATTATCTATTCTAAAAATATAATAGAAATGAACCAAAACTCTATTTTTTTATTTGTCTTTAGGTATTACATTGTGATCAACAAATAATTCATCTTTGTGAGAGGTATGTTTGGTTCTTAAATTAATTAAACATAACAAGATGTATACAAAAATGATTGCAAATATGCCCTAAACATCAAATGAAATGAACAGCATTAAATACATCTGTAATAATCTGGATAAATAACTAAAATATAATTAAATGAATGGTTTACTCACCTAAAGGATTATTAGGAACACCTGTTCAATTTCTCATTAATGCAATTATCTAATCAACCAATCACATAGTGCCTTGACTGTTGCCGTTTTCTTTTCATATTTTGACAATATGTGACAATACTATGCGGTCCTTAAGAGTATGAGTGTTGTTAGTTGTATTGAATTGGTTTAGTCATAAAACGCAGATAAGTGATGCAATAGCTTCACGTTTAAGTTCAGCTAAGCTAATATGGGCCAAGACCACTTGCTGCCTTGGTTACAATAACCACTTTCAGGCAGCGCCCCGAAGGAATGCAAATTGTAAATATTGATGCATTGTAACGTTGAAACTATTGGGTAGTGACCTCACCTAAAGGATTATTAGGTACTAATACTGTGTTTGACCCCCTTTCGCCTTCAAAACTGCCTTAATTCTACATAGCATTGATTCAAATGGTAAATGGCCTGTACTTGTATAGCGCTTTTCTAGTCTTCTGACCACTCAAAGCGCTTTAACACTACACGACATCATTCACCCATTCACACCCATTCATACACTGATGACAGGAGAACCACACACAGTGACACTTGCCATCAGTAACTAACATTCACACACTGTAGTCGTAGCTACAGGAGCAATGTTGGGTTAAGTGTCTTGCCCAAGGACACAACGACATGCGGGTTAGCCGGGCCTGGGATCGAACCCACAACCCTCTGATTGGAGGACGACCGTGCTCCCCACTCACCCACAGTCGCCTCAACAAGGTGCTGAAAACATTCT